AAAATCCGGGAGAGTTGGCAGGTATGGATAAAGGTAGTATGTTACTTTGGACAAAAGATTTAAAAATGTATTTACCCTTTTAACCTACCAATAAAATATAAAAATAGAGCAGATTAGTGGATAGAGAGTATTTTTTTATGACGTGTTCGTACTGATGTTCAGAACCGATCTGATTGGTTGATTGCCTTGAATTTGCTCGAGGTGGATATGCGCAAGGCAATAGCTATATTGAACTAAATAACTCATAATTTTACTATTTAAAAGTCGCAATTTAAATATAACGTTTGGATTCAATGATATTTGTTGAATTTATGAACATTTATTGAATAAAATGTATTATTTTAATTAAATGTTGGATGAGTTGGTTGACCGGAAAATTTCAGAATATTTACACGAAAGTTAAAAATTAATTTGAGTTGTTGGTTGCCAGGGATTTGTCACTATCGAAATCATACATTGAGAGGTACACAAAGAATGAAAACAGCATTCAATCGAATTATTTTGAAAAATCTAACTCACTTTTTAAAAATTCTCATGAAAAAAATCATGAATTTTTAAGCCAAATAAATTAGATGCAGCAGTTGGATTACGAATAAAACATGCCATGAAAACTACTTCAATCTTCATATTTGTTGAAGTTAAAAGTTTTTTCGTTCCACAGTGGAGTGATCGTTATAAAAGGGTTCCCAGTGGAACACCGAATGTGATGACGCGTTTTCGGATCATCCTTAGGGATGCTTCCCAGATCATCGCCAATTGCCTATTGTGCAGCTCTAGTGTGACGTAAATAAACAATTACAACTATAAAAGCTTTTTAAGCAGGAATTAACCCTAAATTTAATATGGTGTAGATTCGTAAAGGATAGTAAAACGTGGTGCTTTTTAGTTTGCTGTACTCTTAGTTACATTATAAAATATTTAGAATAGAATTGTATTTATATTATTCCTTTGCTTTTTAATTTCAGAATGGAAGGTCAACGAGAAACAAACATAGAAATAACTATCCGAACGGGACATGAGAGTGGTCTTTTAATTTGGACTAATAAAGGAGCGACCATCCGGGGGGACTACCTTGCTTTAGCTATATCAAAAGGTCATCTACAGTTGAGTTTTAATCTTGGGAAGCAAACACAACCCTTCACTATAACAAGTACTCACAGGATCGACGATTTAGAATGGCATACAGCCCTGATTGAAAGGTACTGGGTATTTTCTTTGGATGATTCTACCACGTGGAATTATTACAGAGACCGTTATCTTTTGTTTTAAAATGTTTTTGACCCCTTCAGGACCGTGACGACGCATATAGTTTGTCTATGGTAAGAACTCCCCCTTCCACAAAGTCTGAGACCGTCTGCTGCTATGGAAACAAGAATAGCGGATTTCAGGGAGGTTAGCTTCTCTTCACTCTAAGGCTGACGCAATAGACCGGGAAAAAAAGATTCCCTTTCTTTCGTCTATCCGAGTCAAATCCTGTCCTTAGCAAGGACTTCACATCCCTACTTGAAATAGTTATAACTCATTACCATAGTCAGCGCCACGGATTCAGATGAATAGCACGGGGAGTTCTTACTTTAGACATACTATACTTGATCACGAGATTCTCTTTTCACGGTCCACTGTGTCACAAATGAAAAGAGTCTTGCTGACTCTAGCTGCACGGACATGATCTCAATACGGTACTCTCGTATTAATATGCATGCGTACTCTTTAGTACGTATAAACTTGGATTATGTGTACGTACCTAGAAAAGCATTTCTGTCTCTACCTATGGTTCCTGAAAGAAATAAAAAAACGGCAAATAAAATTTTATTCGTAGTTGTACGGTATAATTTGCACTACACATATTATACAGATGCACTTTGCAAAAGCTTATTTCATTTCATTTTAACTATTTTATTTTATTCTTTGTAAACGAAACTTCTTAAAAGAGATTACAAAATTTCGAATTTTCATCACGAAAATGTTATGCAATTGAATACGTTAAATGTTTTTGTTTTTCTTTTTTTCAAAATGTTTTAATCATCTTAAAAATCAGTTTATAAAAATATAATGAGAAATTATAAAATACATTTAAATATAAAAGATGTCTCCGATGCATGTCTCATACTTTAAAAAAGAAACTTATTTAGTATTTCTTTTACCCTTATTTAAAATGAAAAGTTTATTAAACATTTATATCCGTCGTTGAACAGCCTACCCAATTTTGGGCTTACGACTACTAATGTTCAACTCCGTAGCCCTGTAGTTTTGAACCAATTCAGAAGACAAGGAAACACCTGAATCAATACCCGCAGAGGTATGATTTGTTATGGAAACATAGAGGACTTTGCGACTCGACAGATTTAACGTGCATCAGTCATCATTTACTACACGGGAAGTCTTCGGCCAACGGGGATCGAACCCACTGCCACTTGGACATGGGCCCAGTGCCCTACCAACCAGGCTAACCTGGCATTTATTAAACATTTAGACTTTTTTTATTTTAGGCTCCGGTTGCTTGGCTTGTCGGGCGTTGGAACCATGTTCAAGAGGTCCTGAGTTCAAATCCCGCCAGCCGATGACTCTCCGGGTCTAAAAAGGTAACTGGTGCACGTTAAATTTATCTTGGTCACAAAGTCTTCCAAATTTCAAGGTCAAAATTACAATCCGCGGATGGTTGAACGTTGTGCGAGTGAGTCCTCCCCGTAAAACAGGCTGTGACGTACGTGTGTGGCAAAATCATATTCCGGTTCATGGATGGCACCATGGAGAAACAAGAACCGCACATCTCTGCCTGAATTCGCTTGATTCTACCGAACAAATGACATTTATAACAATTTTTTGCTTGAAGTTTTTTTACCTATCTGTGTGTTAATCTTTTTTCATACAATCACAAAATATTTTTTGTTATATCAATCAGTGAATATTAAAAAAAAATAATTTCTGGTATCCGTTATTACTTTGTCTAGAAATATGAGACGTGGTACAATGACGATTGACGATAATGCACCCATCAGCAACACTTCAGAACCTGGAGCCACAGAACTCAACACCGATGGCGTATATTGGATAGGTGAGTATCACTCAACAATGAAAGTTCTTTCCAGAGAAAGAGATAAAATTTTATAAGAAGCTAAACCCTGTGAGTTTGTTAAGATTTTATCCCATTATGAAAATAACACTTCTTCTCTCGCATTGCGTCCCGCAGTGGACTGATAGTAAAGACACAGCTCCCAGTAGAACACCGAAGTCAAGCATCACTGGCTGCGGTCAGTGTGCGGGTGGGTGGCCACTTGGATCAGTCTGCGTAGGGACCGTGGTATTGGTCCTCGTTTAACTGTTCTATCGTAAAGTGCTCGACTTCGCGTGCAGGTCGTCGGGCTACCGAAGCGGGGGTGCCATCCCTTCTGCAGAGGATCAAAATCGTGATGGCATGTCTTCGGTTCATCCTCAGGGATGTTTCTCAGACCATCGCCAATGCTCTAGTGCAGTGTTTCCCAAAGTGTGGTACGCGTACCCCCAGGGGTACGGGAACAGTTTAGCTGGGGTTCTCGTTCTTATGCGAAATATTTTACAACGAAGGAAATTTCAGAAAAATTTATTTAAAAACAAAGCTAGCCATGAAATTTTACGATTACGAATTTTTCTATTGACTATATTTTGCAGAGTTAGCAGTTAATAATTAGTGGTGTCAACAGCTAGTTGTGATTTTTAACTTTAGTGGAATTTTTTTATTGTAAAAAATACATTCATTTCTTTTATTAGTGGTACACAGCGTTACGAAAAATTTAGAAAGGGTACACAAAAGTCATAAGTTTGGGAAACACTGCTCTAGTGCGACGTAAATGAACTACAACCACCAAATATCACGCATTGCAGTGATACAATTGATATTTGACTTCATTTCTTTCTGTTCAACAGACTTTATTTTTCATATAAAATTCTTAAATCAATGAGAAATTTTCTTTTTAATTTCTATTGCATTGTAGAACAGTGCGACGATCTCTTTGTGTAAGCTTATAGCTCTATAATTCCATCAATGAGGCTTATGATTGAAGTTAGGTAAACAGCAGATAGGTAAGTAGGTACTTCGTACTAGAGCTCGTCTTACTTACATCATCCCTAGGATTATTCAAAGTCATACCATCGCAAATTTGATCATCTGCAAAGGACATCTCATTCGTAAGGTCACTTCCTCAATTTAGACAAAAAGCAGAAGGGGAAGGAAATTTTCTCTAGATCTTTATACCTATGATACTGCTTAGATGCCGGCCACAGGACTTTAGATTCCACAGATTTTAAGAGCACGTATATCGCACGTACTCGGTGTGTCTTAGCGGAGTCGAGGATCGAACACCGTCTCCTTCGGACCAGAATATGATTCTTTAACCACTGGGCAACAGCAGAAGTTGCCAATCAAAATCAGCAACGGTTAGTGGCTTGGAAGAATTTATAAAGAAATGAGAGTTTGAGCCGAAGAACAAATGTTCAATGGCTATATCATTCAACTTTTAAAGTTACGCAGTGAACTAAATGTAAAGACACAGTTCACAGTAGAATAACGAAGTCAAGCATTACTTGCTTCGGTCAATAAGCGGGTGATTGACCACTTTGATCAGCCAGCGTAGGGACCGAGGGTGTGCGGTATCGCTCCTCGTTAAACTGTTCTACCGTAAAGTTCTCGACTTCGCACGCAGGTCGTTGGTCTACCAAAACAAGGGAGTCATCCCCTCTGCGTACTTACCTCCCTGTACCGTGCCTCAACTTTTGAAAAAATTATTTTTACGTTCAGAAGCAATATA